GAACTATCTAGCCCGTGCCGCGTGTAGCCGCGCGGCACGGGGTTCGAACAAGCTGGCTTTTAAAAATGGCGGAGCCGGCTTTATGCTAATGAAGCCCGGGAAATTCAAATCCCGGGCTTCATTAGCAAGTTCGGTATGCATACATTACCCCCCTAGTTCGAACTAGGGGGGTAGTGTAGACATACCCTGAGTGAATAGTATGACATGGAGAATGAAATGGAGAATGAGGGAAATTTGGGTTGAAGAGCCATGCAGATTTCCTGTTGGTGAATTCTGTATTACTTGATTAAGAGGTTTTCAGTGGGAATTAGGCACTGAATATACTTGTGGCATGTTTGAAAATTCATTTATTCTAGTGGGGTTCCATAAATGCAAGTGAAGAAATTAGGCCTTCTTCTGAAATTCACACTGTGTGGAAAGCCCCCAAGTATCTGTACACCACCTGGCGAAGCACAAGTGACGCATGGGACTTGTATGAGCTTGCTGCACAAAGGGAATTTTACCTTCATTTGCAATAAACCCACATGTTTGAGCATCAGCTCTATTATATATAATCTGTAGACAATTTTTATCTGATCTGAGTGCTACTGCAATATAAAATATTAACTAGATCTATTCCTATCGCATAATACATATGTAAATAATATTAGAAGACAATCTAACTATAACATATGGGTGGTTGCGTACATCTGAAACTGAAGTCTGGCAGTACCCCTACTGATTTCAATAGGCACTGGTGGAAGGTACCATGGCTAAGTATTCGGTAAACTAGATCAGTCAGCTGAATTTATAGTCACCTAAATGAAAATGGACTGATGTTCAGAGATCCTGCAGCTGTCATTGACTCTAGCCGGAGTTGTCAGCATTCAAAACCTCTTAAAACATCCAGCCATGTATATTTGCGACTGCTGACTAGATGTTAGGACCTATTTTTGGACACACAGCCTGTAGGTTTATAATAGAATTGAGACTTCAGAATTCATATCTAGGTGGGACACAGACACAGATACACCAAGGCTACGTCTAGACTATATCCCTTTTTCGGAAAAGGGATGCAAATTAGACGTATCGCAATTGCTAATGAAGTGGGGATTTAAATCTCCCCCGCTTCATTAGCATAAAAATGGCGGCCGCTTTTTTTCAGCACGGAGCTTTGCCGGAAAAAAGCGCCAATCTTAAAATAAGGGATAAGGTATCTTTCGGAAAAGGCTTTATTTTCCGAAAGATCCGCGTCTAGATTTAAATCCCGCTTCATTAGCAATTGCGATACATCTAGTTTGCATCCATTTTCCGAAAAAGGGATGCAATCTAGACGTAGCCCAAGTGTTTTTGTAGTTAAGTTTCCTTCTTTGTAGAAAAACAAGGAGAGGTGTTCTCATGTTCACATTGTGGCCTTTTTATGGACCCACAATGTACAGGGAACCCAGACTCCTCTTCAGTGGTAATAGAGAGGTAGCCGTGTTAGTCTTGCTCAAACAAAAGGAAAAACTATGTAGCACTTTAAAGACTAACAAGATGGTTTAATAGGTGATGAGCTTTCATGGGCCAGACAATGATCGGAGGAAGTGGGTCTGGCCCACGAAAGCTCATCACCTATTAAACTATTTTGTTAGTCCTCTTCCGTGGTGAGTGAGAATTTCCATGTCCCTGGATATGAGGCACTGCACTCAGAGGTGTGAACACAGCCCATATCAACATACCTGAGTTGGCTTGAGAACCAAAAGTGGTGAAGCCATGAAAGCATGGGTGCCGGGCGGGGCTAGCAGTTTGGTCTTGGATGTGGTTGTACAGCTTCACTGCTATTGTAACTTACCTAGCTAGATCACAGCTAGCTGGGATGTGTCTACACATGCTGCAATCATACCTCTGTTTGCAGTGTAGGCGTACCCAGAGGCTGTCCTACAAAGGCTCCTTTGAAAGCCTAGAAATTGAAGGGGGTGTATAAGCAGCAGCCAAAGAGTCCCTTTAACATACAATGCTATGGGGATTCTCAGCAGCTACAGAGTAGTTGTGGGGCAACTGTGCTATAATTTAGAGCAGTGGCCAGTAACCCATACTGGTCACTGGAAGCAGCCCAGAACTGGGAGGGCGTAAAGCCGCCTTTGTCCCTTGTCCTCTGATTGCACCCCCTGAAGAATTCCAGCCTTTGATTGTTGTTGTTCAGTTCCTGTCTATAAGAGTCAGCAAATCGCAGGGTCATGAAGACCAGTGACTGAACACGAGCAGTTCATGACTGAAACTGAAACAAAGCTGACTGTCATCCAAACTGGCATTTCTCTGGTGCATGATTGTGTCTGATTTTTTGCTTGTAAATTCTCAGATTATTGCGGGGGCAAAAGGGGATTCAAAATTAAAACTCCACTGTTCAGAGGAAATAGGAACAAGGTGTCCAAAAAGTTAGAGCCAGCTGGGTTTATGATGACGAATTAGGTATATCTTGCAGTAACATAGCTGCTTTGTATTATGTGCTTCCATCCATGAAATACCATAGCTATGCTCTGTAGCACTCTAAGGTTAATGTGTTTCGAATAATATATTACAGTATTGTGGAATTATTTGTAAACTAGGACTTTATTTGCTGGAATTTTTACCCCCTTTTATATATCAATATTATGTTTTGTTTTAAACAGGAAAAATACTCAATGGGATTTTTTAAAAAAAGATAATGACTTATTTTACTTTAAGTGTGAGGGATAGTAAAATTGGGTGAAGGCCACGGATCTGTATCTTGATCATAACTATCACAAAGGTCAGGGGCCAGTCCTTCACTTAGTGAAAATGGTAATAATCAGGAATAACTCCATTGAAGTCACTGAAATTCATTTGTGTAAAAGTGAGGAATTCAGTCTCTCAGGGTATGTCTACACTAGCTTGTAAATTCGAGCTAGGTAGGCAAATGAGGCAACCGGAGTTGAAAATGAAGCCCGGGATTTAAATATCCCAGTGT